ACAAGGCATCCGGCCCGGACAAGATCCCAAATCGCGTCCTCAAGGAGCTGGCTGGCGAGTTGTCTCCTGTACTCGCAGCACTCTTCAACCAGTCGCTGCAACATGGATGTGTACCCGAAGACTGGACCAAGGCCATGGTAACACCTGTCTTCAAGAAGGGTGGAGTACACGATCCAGGCAACTACAGGCCAGTATCTTTGACTTGTGTAATTTCTAAACTCATGGAGCATGTCCTGTGCAGACACATTCTGAACCATCTTGAAAAATACAATCTTCTCACAACGTTTCAGCATGGATTTCGCAAAGCTCATTCTTGTGAAACCCAACTGCTTCTCACCGTTGACGACCTTGTGTCAGCACACGACAACAAGTTGCAAGTAGACATGGGTATCCTCGATTTCAGCCGTGCTTTTGACACGGTGCCGCACGAACGATTAGTCAGTAAACTTGCACATTACGGCATCAGAGGTCCCATCCTGGACTGGATAAGATCCTTTCTTCAGAACAGATCTATGTGGGTCGTTGCGGACGGTGAGTGCTCGCCATCAACATGTGTCCTCTCCGGAGTTCCCCAGGGAACAGTTCTCGGACCACTCCTAGGCCTGTTCCTTATATACATCAATGACTTGCCGTCCCGTCTATCACCCGGGACCACGGCTAGGCTTTTCGCCGATGATTGCCTTATCTACAGGGAGATTCGCGGTCAAGGCGACCAAGTCATCTTACAGAAGGACTTAATCGCACTGCAAGATTGGGCAGCAACCTGGGGCATGAAATTCAACCCCAAGAAATGCAACACCATGTCCATCACACGGAACAAGAACCCTTTCACCTGGATGTACGAGATGTGTGGCGAGTTTATCCACCAAACAGAGCAGGCCAAGTATCTTGGCATCACTATCAGCAACGACCTGAAATGGTCAACACATATCAGCACTGCTGTAACACGCGCCAACCACACACTTCATTTTCTCAGCCGTAATCTTCGCTACTGCCCCCGTCAAGTCCGTGAGACCGCATATTTCAGTCTCGTTCGCTCTACTATAGAGTATGGTGCAGTTATCTGGGATCCTTATCTGAGAAAGGATATTGACACACTTGAAATGGTCAACCGACGTGCTGCTCGCTTTGTGACCAGTAACCACCGTCGTCAGGATGTCAGCGTCACAGCCCTCCTGCATGACCTGAGATGGCCGTCACTTCAGTCTCGACGACAGCAAGCACGACTAGTAATGATGTATAAGATAACCAATGGTCTCGTGGCTATCCCACCCAGTCGGCTTATTCCAGCAGTTGCTCGTACCCGTGCCAACCACGCCCACAAGTACAAGACTCTGAGACCACACTGTGACATTGCAAAATACTCATTCTATGCTAGGACAATTCCTGAATGGAATAACCTTTCTGCCGACGTAGCTGAGAGTCCATCATTACAAACTTTTAAGAATCGTTTATCGTCACTTCCGTAATCATGTGTATATCTCCCCTCTGCGCGATGTCCCTGTATGTAGGGAATTTGCAGAGTAGTAGCTAGAACTAGAACTAGAACTAGAGCCTGAAACAAGCTACTTGTGGAGTCCTTTATTTTTTTAATACTGCCCATAAATATCTAGACTATATCTAGAATACAAAACAAGCAACCATTTTCCATCAGTGACGTCTCTGGTATTTTTGGCCTCACAGATGTCAATTTATAGATGCAATGGGATATTATTATTATTAGAGTTGATTCAAATTCATTAAAAGAATGACCAAAAAATTGACTTTGAAAATCCAGTTTTGCCATCCTGAAATACTTAGTTTGTGTTTATAGTTTCATTAAATATGTTGAACGTGACCAAGTGTGAGGTAGTGCATTGCATTGTATTATAATCATCAAATTGAAAATATATGTATATGTTTCCTCAGATGCATCAGATGACAGTGATGTGGATGGATCGCCCATGGAGTTAGACATGGCAGCAGGGATGCCCAAACACTTCGGGGCTGCCAAAGAGAAGAAAGGAAAAAAGGTTCCAAAGGGAAAACCTCAGTTCCGCACTGCAGTTCCTGAACAGTAGGTTATGTTGAGGCTGTCTAGTACATTAACTAGTCTAGCTAGGCTAAATTTTCTGGTCTATGAATGATACTGGGCATTGTTCTGGCCAGCGTCTGTCTTTCAGAGTGTTGCTTGAAGGAATTTTGCTGTTTATGACGGACAAAAATTTTGCCATTTTCGACAGAGAAAAAAAGGTGTGTAAAGATAATGAAAAGAAATGTCATTAAACTAAGCTTAGTCGAGTAAAGCATTCTGGAGTTATTGGCCCGGAGTCCGGAATTAAATTGTTTTTCCGGAATTAAATTGTGGCTTGTCGTCCCTCAAAATGCCCCACAAAATGTCAGAAAATGCATTTCATAAGAATCAAGATTTCACAATTTTCCCAAGGGAACATACATGTACCCCTAGATTCTTCTATGGTTGTTGAACATTCAGTGCTCAAGATGATGTTAGGTCAAACAAAATTGAGACAGAAAAAACTGATACTGGGTGGTAATTTCTTTTAGATGTGTAGGGGGCAATTGACTACAATCCATGTCAAAGATTTACGGGAGGGAATGCTACATTTGTAACTTCTTTATCATTAACATTACTCACAAAAGTTGTTAGGGGTTGGTTTCTCTACTTAGTGGTTTCTGTAACTCCATTCCAGGGGTTTTGGCAACTGGGAAAAACACACCAAAGGCATTGGGCAGAAACTGCTGGCCAAGATGGGGTACGAGCCTGGGAAGGGCCTGGGCAAGAACAAGCAAGGTGAGAGTTGGACTATTCAGTTTAACTATTCATGACTTTACCTTGGGGTTAGATATGAACTCCGTAAATATCCTGCAAGGTAACATTGTTTCTACATTGTACAAAAATACAATTGCACCACCATATGAGAGATAATGCACATAACTAGAACTAGAAGTCATATACATGTACATGTAATGAATGAGCAGAGTGACAACCTTGGTTCATATGTTAATTGGTCATATTGCATGAATGAATGAATTAATGAAGACCTTTATTGTATGTACAAGTACATAGTACTCACTGGGTTAAGTACAGGTCACAACAAATGAACAGTTTGTATAGTACATGTATACATATTCATGATTAAGTTAGCACTAGCACTATAATAATATATATAATATGTAAATCAAATTTGGACTTCTCGCTTTTCAGTGATGGTGAAAAGGTAAGAGCAGACATCGATCAGCAGAAAAAGATCAGAAGTTTGTCTAAGCTCGATAGAAATTTGTCTGTATTACTACTTAGGTGTATAAAGTAGGGAAACATTGATGTAATAAGTCTACATCAACTCTATCATTGTTGTACAAAATGTAGAAGCTACATCCTTCTAATGTTAATAACTCCAGGTATCACCATGCCTGTGGAGGCGTTTAAGAGGAAGGGCCGTGCAGCGGTGGGAGCGTACGGCTTCGAGGGGAACAAAAATCTGCACGAACAGTTTCCTACAACTACCGGGGAGGAGGAGGAGGAGGAAGAGTTCCAGGAACAGCTGGCACAGTGGAAGAAACAACCTGAGGTAACTTAGAAAAAAACAGGAAAAAAATGTTACATTTCCGGCTTCAGTCCTGGAAAAAATAGGGTCGGTAGGTAGGGCTTTTTTTTTTTTGGTCTTTTTTTTGAGACTTCAGTGATATCTAATAGGGGTGCAACTTACAACATACAATACAGTTTAACAGAGCAAAACTTGCATGAGGCCAGGACACTTATATTTTCAATGTTAATGTTAGAAAACCAATTGTACAATGTTTTATCACTCAGGTGTCAGATCATGGAGCTAGAAAAGGTCTTTCAGCTCAAAAAATGTATATCCCTTGCAGGCTAGGGATCTACAAAAAAAAAGTCTAGGGTCGGCAGATTTTTCTAGGGTTGGTCAGGAAATAGGAAACACAACATTTTTTTTCTAGGCCTTACATATACAGTCAAACTTGTCTAAGACAACCACTCTGGGGACCGAAGAAAAATGCCCTTCTTCTAATAGATAAGTGGTCTTGTACAAGGTGACAAGAAAGGACAGAAAACAAGAAAAGCATTTTGGAATCAACCTGAATCTAAAAAAAAATGAAATGGAGCGGGTGAATCGAGAATTCAAACAATTATTATTGGTGTGGCCTTATGTGGCTGTGTTCCTGTTAATTTCTTGTTTGGAATGAATCTATCAGAAAGCCAAACAGAAGGTGAAGTACAAGTACAAGACCGTGGAGGACGTGCGAGCTACCGGAGGTCCTGGGAACAAGAAGAAGATGGCCGCCCCTGCCGCTGCCAGTAAGATCAAAGTCATCGACATGACAGGACCAGAGACAAGAGTTCTGTCAGGTGAGCAGAACATCAGAAAACTTCAGTCAAGTCCAGTGTTCTAGCTAGAGCCTGTCTTTCTGTCATTTAACAGAATTTTGCCGCTTATTGCAGACAAAAATGTTGCCGAATCCATCATCTTTGATGGACAATAATTGGCAAAAATGGACCTGTCCCCCTCTCACACAAATGGATTGTTCCTAAATCACCCCTGGTCAAAATGTGAAACTTTCCAACAGTCTATACCCCCACTCAACAATGGAATCTTCCAATGCCTTCTGCTGTTGGAACATGTAGATTGACAGGATCCAAGCCATAACTAGACTAAGTTTTGCCTTACCCGTAATTAATTGCATTGGATGCCTTTAATGCTTAATATCATTTCTTTGTTCCCAGGGTATGACCAGATAGCGGGCACACAGCTCCAGTTCACAGACGAGGCCACCCCCCGTAAGAAGGCGTTCTCCCTGCCTGAGCTGGAGCACAACCTGACCCTGCTGGTGGAGATGTCGGAGCAGCACATCCTGGACAACGAGCGCCGTCTGAGACACGAGAAGGACATGATCGTCAACCTCAAGCACGAGGACGAGAAACTCATGGAAGTCCTGCATGAGGAGAAGAAGTCCATAGACAGGTTGGTTTAGAAATGTTGTTAATAATCGCAGAACACAGTTAGAACGTTTATTTGCTCTGGAGCAAATGCAACATATTTCAGTCATACCCCTCCCCATAAAAGGCACTGTTCCAAAATCACACCTGTGCAAAAGTAGCTCCCATGCAGGAATTAATCGTAAAATGTAATGGGGAGGCTTCCTGAATTCAGTGTAATAGTAGGCGGCTCTCAAAACATAGCATAGAGCTTTGTTAGGACACCCCCCATGCAGGCCCTCCTAGAACACTGCTTGGATGTGTAAGTGTCCCGAAAATAAATTTCAATTGTCCCGAAGTAAGGATGAAATGTCCCAACCTGTTTTTTGGGGGAAGTATTGTATGACTTCGACTTGAAGTCAACTTAATTTTGCTTATGTTCACTCCCAGGCGCACTATAATTGTAGAGTAGACAGGAAATTTGGGGGGACTTTTCCGGATCCAAAAGCCGGGATGTGTGACTGATAAACAAAAGAAGGGCTGACATTCTGATGTTGATTATTTTTTTATCTTCCCAAAGTGTCTTCTTAGTTGTCCCAGCCAAAATTTTAGTGGTCAGTGGCCATCGGACCACCTTTAATTTCGAGCCCTGAGTGTGAGTGTTTTCTACCCGCCAGGTTGGAGGCAGTGTTGGAGATGGTTGAGGAGTGTGAGAGAAGACTGGACCTGGGCAGTCTGGAGCCGCTGACATTGCGGGACTGTGAGACCATGTTCCGCCGCCTGCAGGAGGAGTACTACGTGGAGTACAAGACTTACGAGCTGAACCAGCTGGCCATCACTGTAGTCTTTCCCTTGGTGAGTAGGTATGATTCAGAGGAGCAGGTTTTCTGCACATAAAAAAAATGTGTGCAAATAACTTTAAAAAAAGGGAAAAATGAAATCCTTGTGTCATTTTTCTGCGTAAGAATTTAGTACTAAAGATTTTATGACATATTCAAAGGACCTTGGGTTCCTATTTTCTGAAACAGGTTCTTACACTAGTTACAGGTGCAAATTTCAAACTTGTTTTGCTCATGAAAACTTTAAGCTTTAAAAATCACAGAAAAATGAACAAAACAAGGCTGCTCTTATAAAAAAGTGGTGGTGAATAAAGTTAGATTATTGATATTCATTCACAAGCCTGATGAAAATATTTACAGATACATGTATATACATGTACTTCTCTGACTCCCCTGCAGGTAAAGAAATTGTTGATAGACTGGAAACCCCTACAGGACCCCACCCTCCCTCTGCAGGAGTTCTGTCTGTGGATATTTTCAGATATTCTCTGACTCCCCTGCAGGTAAAGAAATTGTTGATAGACTGGAAACCCCTACAGGACCCCACCCTCCCTCTGCAGGAGTTCTGTCTGTGGATATTTACAGATATTCTCTGACTCTCCTGCAGGTAAAGAAGTTGTTGATAGACTGGAAACCCCTACAGGACCCCACCCTCCCTCTGCAGGAGTTCTGTCTGTGGATATTTACAGATATTCTCTGACTCCCTGCAGGTAAAGAAGTTGTTGATAGACTGGAAACCTCTACAGGACCCCACCCTCCCTCTGCAGGAGTTCTGTCTGTGGATATTTACAGATAGAGAATTCTCTGACTCCCCTGCAGGTAAAGAAGTTGTTGATAGACTGGAAACCCCTACAGGACCCCACCCTCCCTCTGCAGGAGTTCTGTCTGTGGATATTTACAGATAGAGAATTCTCTGACTCCCCTGCAGGTAAAGAAGTTGTTGATAGACTGGAAACCCCTACAGGACCCCACCCTCCCTGTACAGGAGTTCTGTCTGTGGATATTTACAGATATTCTCTGACTCTCCTGCAGGTAAAGAAGTTGTTGATAGACTGGAAACCCCTACAGGACCCCACCCTCCCTGAACAGGAGTTCTGTCTGTGGAAGGAGTTGTTAGAGGAGGGTCACGGTGTACCTCTGGGGTCAGACGGGTCAGGGATGGACGTGTTCCACCGACTGGTGTGGGAGATATGGATGCCGCACATCAGGACCATGTTTGGGTAGGAAACCATCTTATGGGCCATTGACCTTTTCCTGTGCAGCAGTACACAGGTTTCTATGTAAACTGCCATGTTAGATATCTTTCCTGTGTGCACTTCTCAAAAATTGAAAACCAGCCTGAAATTATTTTATGTCAAGTCAATTTTGTTTGACACGACATCATGTTGAGTGCCAAGGTGTGAGGCGTTGTTCTAGAAGTGCAACAACCCTAGGGTCCAGGGGCATGCTCCCTTAAAATCCTAATTCCTGCATTATGGGGGGGCAGATTTTGCTGTTGGACTAAGCTCAGTAACATCTCTTTCCATGTTTTTACTTGTCAATTTTTTTGTTCGTCAAAAATAACGAATTGGGTAAAATTTTTGCCATGAGCTGCAAAATTCCCTCCAATGGCAGAAAGACGAACACTGGCTAGAACACTGATTAAAAAGCAATGACGTAACAAAATGTTTTTAGATGGTTTACATTAATTTTGTATCTCCCCTTTGTTTGGTGGGGCCCCAGGTCATGGTCAGTGCGTAACTATGACCAGATGTTGCGGCTGTTGGAGGACTGGCTGCCCCTGGTGCCCACCTGGATCATGGATAACCTGTATGACCAGCTGGTCATGCCCAGACTCATGACCGAGGTGGACAGCTGGAATCCCACTACTGACACCATGCCCATCCACCAGTGGTTACACCCGTGGCTACCCCTCATCAGTAAGTACATGTACACCTAAGACCGAACCTAGAATATACAGCGACAGTATGGGATCCATATACGATGTATTAAGAAAAACAAAGATAAACAAGAAAGGGTAGTACAAAATCAAGCTGCAAGATTCTGCATGAACAAGTATGAAAGGGGTGCTAGTGTCACGGACTATGCATGATGTACAAAATGACTAAATGGTTATCTGTTTTAGGTTCTCGGCTGGAATGCCTGTACCCAACCATCAGACCCAAGTTGGGGAAGGCGCTGTATGACCAACTGTTATTGTTGACTGTTTTAGGTTCTCGGCTGGAGTGCCTGTACCCCACCATCAGACACAAGTTGGGTAAGGCGCTGACTAACTGGCACCCCAGCGACGCCTCGGCTATCCACATCCTGCAGCCCTGGAAGCCGGTGTTCAGTGAGGGCAGCATGGACTCCTTCCTGCTGAAGAACATCCTGCCCAAACTGGGGCTGTGTCTGCAGGAGTTTGTCATCAACCCTCACCAGCAGCATTTAGGTTAGTGCCAAGTAGGCCTGTGTACTGGTACACAGTACTAATACTGTACCGAAAAACCATACCTAATCCCTCAGTACCACGTACTGTACATGTACTGTACCTGAGTTATAATAATTATATGCTTATCAACCCTCACCAGCAGCATTTAGGTTAGTGCCAAGTAGGGCTGTGTACCAGTACACTGTACCAATACTGTACCAAAAAACTATACCCAATCCCTCAGTACCACGTACTGTACCTGTGTTATACTAATTATATGCTTATCAACCCTCACCAGCAGCATTTAGGTCAGTGACAAGTAGGGCTGTGTACCAGTAGACTGTACCGATACTGTACCAAAAATCTATAGCTAATCCCTCAGTACCACGTACTGTACCTGTGTTATACTAATTATATGCTTAGCAACCCTCACCAGCAGCATTTAGGTTAGTGCCAAGTAGGGCTGTGTACCGGTACACTGTACCGAAATAAAACAGTAAATCAGAGCCTTGTCTTGTCTCCTCTTTTCATATTTATCTGCTATCCACTTTCCAGCTATTGACATTGCTATGTTGTTGTTATTTTTATGTTTACTGAAGGAAAACGTATTGTTTTTGCTCAGTTTCTTCCTCTTCTTCTTCTCCAGTGACTTCTGATTCTGACCAATGACATGATTTGTTGACGTCTGTCACCATGGTGACTGGTGTTGGGTTACATAATGTTGCAGTTTCATGGTCTGCTCTGCTCCTGTCACCATATACTAGTACAAAATGTAGTACATGTATTTGAATGTGTTTGAGTAAGAATTAACAGAGTAGACCATATCTGAAGGTAAACATTATGCAGTTGCTTTGCAAATGTTACTTCTCTAGTCTTACATGTTGTATCTCCCCCATGTATCTCAGATGGGTTCCAGTGGGTGCTGCGTTGGCATGGCATGCTGCCCGTACAGAGCCTAACCTCCCTGTTTGAAAAACACTTCTTCCCGAAATGGATCCAAGTCCTCTGTACCTGGCTTAACAACAACCCTGACTACGACCAGGTATGTCTGTTAACCTAAAATCTTTCTCTTTTTTTGGCAAATCAGAAAAGAATGGACAGGGCGAATCCGAGAAGCAACAAATTAAATTGGTGTGGCCTTATCTGAAAAATTCTGTCAGATTGTCTCATGTAGATAGCAAACATGATTTCAGCACCAGGGACAGGGACAATGAACCCTAGTTTTCACACTGGCCGGAACACCCATATCGTACGTAATCGTGGCCCACTGATATGACATAAATGATGTTAATGATATTTGACAATCTGCTCATGTCTATGTACAGGTGACAAAGTGGTACCTCGGGTGGAAGTCCCAGTTTCCAGAAGAGATGCTGAATGAGCCAGCTGTCAAAGGTACATTATACATTATACAAGAAATTCCACATTTGCCCCTAACTCTGCACCAATATTGATTTTATGGCTGGAAAATTATCTATTTATTCATAAATAAACACAATTTATTTATAAAAAAAATATAAATAAATAATTTATTTATTAATAAACGAACAAATAAATTTGTGACACCAAAAAGCAAACCTTACAGCAGGGATAAATCTCCCTGAATTGCAAAAAGTTTGTGTACACAAATTACAACGGACAAGACAGGCGATATACATGTATACATCCCAAGACAGGAAAGTCTGGCAACACCTCTGCTGCAAGGTTATAGGAAACATAAAGTATGACATTTTTTTATACACATGATAGATAGATACACAGGTAATCCATACTTTGTTCTTGTTCCCCAGACCAGTTTAACCGGGCGCTGGAGATCATGACGCGGGCGGTCGGCGGGGGCGGCGTGGTCCAGCCCGGGGCGCGGGAGAATGTGGCGTACCTCACGTCCACGGAGAGGCGGCGGGAGTTTGAGGCTCAGGCGGCCGCCGAGAAGAGAAGGGAGGAGAGGACCCCGGTAAGATCACTTCACACTCTGTTTCACACTCTGTTTCACACTCTGTTCTCAGCTGTTAACAGATACATTCCCTTTAATTGTGTATCTATGAATACTTTGTGTTTGGGAACAAATCTCAGGGCTCAAATTGTATTATTTGGTAAAGGTAAATGTGTACACAGGTGCACATGAGAAAAAAATACTGCATTTGCACAAAAAGCTTGCTTGCACTGGTAAAGATCGGGAGAAAATTAGTTGCACAGTACTCAAATTTACAAATGTATGTGCACCAACTTGCACATGAAAAGGGTAGTCAGAGCCATGCTAAGCAGTGGCACCTGTGCTGTGCATTGTGAACCTGAAATGTCGGCAGAATGAAACACTTGTGTAAAAAAGTCTTTTTCCTTATTATGAGTTTTTGTTTCAAAGTCTGGGCAAGGACATTACACATGCAGATATATCTTGTACATGTATAATGTCCTTGGTCTGTGGTTCAAGTTGTAGCTTTTGTAATAACACTCTGATGGGCATGTAGTGAAGAATATTAGAAGTTACTATTTTGTGTTCCAGATGGAGGCAGCAAGGAAAGCAGCAAATGTGTCCATGAACTTCAAAGACCTCATACAAGCCAAGGTAAAGAAACATGATGCATCTTGAAATACACAATGTATATCTTTTAGTGCCCTGTCTAATGGATATGGGGAAAATGGCAATGACAACAATTGCAGGTGATTGCGAATGCCTGTTGAATGATAGACAGGTTGTACGTCTAAACCAGAATATCAGTCATCTGACTTTTTCACTCTCTGGAACAAACTGAACCCAACCATATCCATTACAACCTGTGGAAACACACACACACAGGTACACACTCATACATACACAGACCAAAAACAATACATGTTCCTCCATATTTTGTGGCAGTCCAAATGTACAGAACTTGTACAGAACAGTTCTTGTGTACATTCATATTGCATCTAATGGTCAAAAATGACAACTTTCCTTTTTGAACATTTCAGGCGGAGGAGAACAACCTGGTGTTCTGTCCCATTCCCAACAAGTTTTACGAGGCCAAGGCCGTGTACCAGTTCGGCACAAAAACCATCTACATCGACAGGGGCGTCGTCTTTGTACAGGGGGAGAAGACATGGGTGCCTGTGTCTCTACAGAACCTCATCGACATGGCAAGATAGGACATACTCTGTATTGGTCTGCAGGGATAAAATACCATTTCTGCAAACCTGCACTGGTCCTCACTGGCCTGTGTATTTCATTTCAGTTCACAATAAAATCTTATCAAAATACACATACATCAAAATATCGCTCAATTGTGCAAGCTCAAAACTAGGAGCATGGACCATGCAACTTCAAAGTTATCATCCTGGTTTATGATAATAGTGACAAAATCTGTGTGTGGTTAACTTTGTGTAGTACCAACTCATGTAACCTGTAGTGCGTTGACCACAGAACATACAGAGATTCATTGCAATTATGTATATCTGAACGAGGAATTAACACTGTGCTATTGATTGCATAGTGATACTGTCACATAGTATGGACGGTGAATACATGATTTGTAAATAAAGCTTTGTAACCAGCATTTTGTCCCTTCACTCATTTGTATCTACTTTTAATAGGAAAGCTCTAAGTCTAAGCAAATAACAGAGGTGACCCCATCACTAAATACTTTAAAAGTAGTACCTTAAAATACCTGTTAGAGACTTTTTGATGTAAAAGATGCAGAAAGAATACTAAATAATGAGACACAGATTTCATGTGTACCCTGCATTGTGCATGCTGTTAATGACTTAATTCACAAGTAAATTCCAGTGAATATACAGATTTATATATACAGGTTGTGTGTATATATACATGTACATGTTACTTTGCCTCATGGCTATAGCATCAACGATTTAATTTTATACAACAGTAGGAAGCATGCTGTATATTGCAAAGATTGGCAATAGAATGACAACAACAAAGTAAGCTGCACACCTTCATTTCAAGTACATGTGTACATACATCATCATATTACATGATTCATAAGTATCTCAAGTTGGATTCACTATATATATGGAGTCAACTATATGCATGTACATTGATTCAGAAAGTGAAAACTGAGGAAAATGAATTCTTTTTTCTCACAACTTTACAGATATATTTACTAGTATTCAATCATCCTTGACACAATGTGATGAGAATATATACACCTGTACAAAGTATACAGTTACTAATAATTATGAAAGTTCATCTGTGTTTGTAGTTACATGTTTAAAGGTAAAACTTTTGACCCAACACAAAAGGTAAATGTTTTCACCTAGAGCTTTTGACCAGTCAGACACCCTGTTCATCTTTATACAAGATACCTTTGACCCGGTATTGATTTCACACTTCAGAGAAACCATGTGACAAGTCTCACTGGGTCAGTCTAAGGAAGAAGCCCAGAGTGACTGGTTGAAGCTCTAGGTGAGAACATTTACCTTTTGTGTTGGAACAAAATTACAGTTTTACCTTTAAAGTACACAGTAGTTTCAGTATATGTACAGGGAGCCGTCAGAAGGCCCCAGGTAGCCCACAGCGATCAACAGGACGTCCACCAGTGTCCAGACACCCAGGCCGCCGAAGCTGAAGAGTTTTCCCAGCCCCTCCCTCCACTGTCCAAGGTAGAACCTGTCCACCCCAAACCCCCCCAGGGTGATGCTGAGGATCAGTGCTGTCGACCATCGGTAACCTGAGGTCCAGTTACACTCCAGCGACTTGGGGAATGTCCTCGCACCTGAAACAACAATTCAAATCATGACTTTTTAGGAGTGGTTGAAAATACATGTAAGGGCTCCATTTGCCTAGACAACTACTGATGCAGTGTAACCCGTTTGATTCTCCTTTTGCTTCTTTATCGTGCAAGGGAAAACACCAGTTGATCAACAACAAACACCTGTAAAAACAGCAAGTACCACCAGATTACAACTACAAGTGATTAATGAATGTCTCCCACTGGGACCTACTGAACCTCACCATATCCATTACAACCTGACCTACATGAAGAAGCACACATGGACACACACATGCCAAAAACAATACATGTACTAGTACCTCCATTTTCAAACAATTCTTACACAGTTTTTTTTACCTGCAAATTACAAATTTTAACACAACTCACCAAAACAGAAGACATATTCTTTGACAGTACAGTTGGCCTGAAATCTTTCCCGTGGTGTAGAGATGACCTTACAGTCTGTGGAGTGAGTACAGTCATGCTCAGTGTCTGCTGTCTGGTAGCAAAACTGACACTTCATACTTCTTGTAAAGGCAGTTGGTCCCTGCAGGAAGAAAGGACAACAAGGTACATGGTACATACATGTATAGGTGTTAATGTAGTATTGAATTTGGCCAGCATCCTGGCCTATGGTACTATTACTAAGTAACTTAATAGATCCCATGTACAGCCCCTGTCACACATAGTTGGTGTGCATTTGACCAGCATAACTACCATTATCTTACATGTTCATGCATGACATGCACGCATTTGTGGCTAGATGTGAAATATGTTGTACATACATGTAATACTCACCACACACTGTATGCCGTCCCTGATCTGACACTGCAGTGTGATGTCTGTCCCGTACACACAGGAGGAGTTGTAGGTACATGTTACACACTGGGCTGCCAGCACGCTGCAGCGAGCGTTACTGGGACAGGTGGGCGGGCCGTCTGTTGGGCCGTGTGATGTCTGCACACCCGTGGGAGGGGTGGTGGGGTTGTCTGGGGGAGAGGTGTGAAAATCAGTGACAGGGCAAGGATCGATGTTTGTTTGTTTATTTGTTTGGGTCTTGTCTTTGTCTTTCGGGATTAAGGTACCCAACATCAACTTGCTGATGATTCTGCTACACTGTAGAATTGGGATGTAGAATTTGTACCATTGCACACCGGGGCATGCCTCCACTCTTTTTCGAAAGGTACACGACCCCACACATTTTCTTGCACAGTATAACTACTAATAAGCCTATTGGGTTCATAATGACATTTGGGGAGTAAAAGATCAAATTATGTCATTGTGATGCAAAAACGTGTTGAAGCTGCCAAAAATACCCCAAGAAAAACCGCTGTTTGTTTTCATTCTTTTTTCAGGAGCCTCCTAAAAATACAGCGGGCCTGGCACAACTTATTCTCGCGCTGCGCTGAGTCATCGGTAAGCAAAATAACAACGCTAATGTTGCAACTTATTGAATATAACAATCTATTAGATGAGATGATTCAGATGAGAAAATTTCAATTATTTATGTTTACAGTTTTGGCGCAAATATCTTACACAATATCGCTTTAACGTCACCTGCAAGCTACACATCATCTGCAAATGGTACCGGAATATAGTACATAACGTTATAACTTACCCGTCAGAGTGGTGTTGGACGGGCGGGTTCCCTTGTCATCACTGCTTGTGGCATTGGCGTCGGCGGTGATCAGTGTTACTGGATGTTGAGGGGAGCTTTCTGTGCCGCCTACTGGTAAGAAAGGTAATATATTAATATAGCTCAGGAGTAGCCGTGGACGACTCTGGTACCCTTTTTGCATGATAATGCCGGCATTATCATGCAAAAAGGGTACCAGAGTCGTCCACGGCTAGCTCAGGAGGTTTATGCAACTTGTGACTTCCCGACCCTAGATATTAAAATATAACACACGATAAACGCCAAATTTAACTATGGTGTATTCTATTACATATATATTAACCACACCCATACTCACTTTTGGGTTGCTCGCTCTCTGCTGCCCTTAAACAGCCCAGAAACACGAAAAACAGCGACAAAATCTGCAATTTTCGTCTACCGACGGCCATCTTGGAAACGGAAGTGCTCTCTTTCCCAGGTCTGTAGGAGTCTATGACTTGTTCATTATTTTGTAAAGCAAATATCATCAAAAGCGTTAAATATATAACGTTACATAAATTACTATATATCACCAGATATTTACGACCAGTTGTATCATATTTGATACTTTTTGATGAAGAATTAGAGCTACTCAAACACCCCCTCTCGGCATTCCATGGTTTCGTCTACTAGTCTCGTCCCCAGCGCACTCTTGTAGAGAACAACATGGCAGCCTCCATGGGAAGAGGTAGAGGAGGAGGTAGCACTAGTTTCCAGAAGAAAGCCCGGGCCAAAAGTCTCCACATCCCCGGCACAAGGCCCTCACCACAGGGGAACCAACTCCTGGTGTCTACCGGGGTCCCGTCTCTGGACCACATCATCGGAGGAGGGGTCGTGGTGGGGACGGTGCTGTTGGTAGAGGAAGACACGTTTGGGAACTATGCACGCCTTCTGGTGAAGTATTTCATGGCGGAAGGTATCATGGCCCGTCATCCTTTACTGCTGTCCTCGGCTGAACTCCACCCCAGACAGCTCCTGGGTGACCTGCCGGCACCGGTTAGCGAGGACGTGGGGAAGACAGCGACACACCAGGGAGATGTACCCTCAGAGAAACAGGTGCAGAAAGAGGCACCCATGAAAATAGCTTGGAGGTAACCGTTGCATGTATAAAGGATTTTCTTAGATCATATTTTTAAGACCACCCATTGTATTCCTATTATTGACTTTGCTAAAAAGGCATTGCTTCAAATAATTTTCATGTGTAAATACTGTAATATATTATGTCAGAAAAAACAGCAATTGTGTACAACAAAATCAGGAAGCTTATATCAATATTATTATGATTAACATCCTTGCATATTAATTAACCTAAATAAAAGCGGCAAAATTAAGATGTGTCAGATACGTTTGTATATGCCATGATAGTGCCATCATTCTTTGAAAAAAAAAAGTTATTTGAAATATTCTATAATTTTTACCCTAGGTACCAGAACTTGCCCACCGAGCAGCCTGAGCTTGGAGCGTTCTCCCAGTTCGGCCACTACTACGACCTGTCCAGGACCATGTCCAGTGAGATGACTGACTCCGCCCCCAGCAGGCTGTTCTACCTGCCGGATGAACTCCCCCTGGAGGAGCAGGGCGCGTGGACCGGCAGCATCACAAACCCTGCCTATGTCAAACTCCTACAGTCCATCCGGGATGTGGTTATGGAAGGACAGTTTGATCTTACCGTGCCACAACCCAAAGACGTGTCTAGAACTGTGCTGAGAATCGGTCTTCACTGTCTAGGTTCCCCCTTATGGGGAGAGCAGGATGGCGGCGCATCCCATGATGCATCTCTCCCCCACTTCCTCCACGCTCTCAGGGCTCTGCTCAGAACCTCGCTGGCCGCTTGCCTCGTCACGGTCCCCACACATCTGTTCCAGGACGCTGCCTTCACACGGCGGTTAGAGAAGCTGTGCGACTCCGTTGTCCGACTCGAATCCTTCGCGGGATCGGAGAAAGAGCAGAACCCTGCGTACAGGGACTACCACGGCCTGCTGTACGTTAGACAGTTGTCCCAGGCCAACTCCCTCCTGTCCCACGTGCCAGACTGCAGCGACTTTGCCTTCAAGCTGCGGAGGAAGAAATTTGCGGTGGAGAAGCTCCACCTGCCGCCGGAACTGCAGGAGAGTCAGCAGCGGGAGCAGGACGAGCCTGTAGCAGCTCTCAAAACTTCAGCTGCGAGCTGTTTCACCAGCGGAAAGAGCAAACTGGACTTCTGAATTAATTTCATGTACATTGTATAATGCGTTTCCATTTGGTTTATATTGTTACATGTTGTTCTACTATTACATGCAAAAGGACAAATATGTGCACCAGTAGTGGTAATGAGATTTGTCATATTTTTATAGAACATTGGGAGTTTGAGACTTTATTGGAACTTCCATTAGCAGTGGGCCCAAGGGCTAGTCTTCCCAGAATTCACATAAATGTACGATGCAGTAGGTATGTGATTGTTTCTTATTTCTATGCAGGTAAGTATTTAATATTTGCAGGTTTTGAATACCATGCTAATGATGCCAAATGCAGTAAGTTTGGAAAAATACAGTTGTCTTGTAGTTTGTTAATCACAAGAATTTGAACAAACTACAAGATCCAGAGGAAAAGGAACTTGACTTGTGCTTCTGGTTATGTCAACCAGCAACAGACTGGTTGACATAAAAAATGCAAATAGTATGCAAAATAGTAGAGTTACTTTTCAAAAGACAATGTTCATACCAATGTTGGGAATTAAAGCTTACGTAGAATAGTTTGATTGGAAATGCTTACATTACATGTAAGTGCAAAACATGTACCTGTCATAAAAATCTGTAAGATTAATTTTAATGATTATTGAAATTACCACCAAAAAACAGCTGAATTCTGTTAGCCTTTATTCAGATTCAAAGTTCCCACCCGAAGCACCCACAGCAACTTGTCTTCTATATACAAGTAAATATCGTAATATTCACAATCATACGGTCACAACTTCTACTGCTAGTTCATAAGTACATGTACATTTCATAATATAACTGTGCCTTATTATTTAAATTTCTTGCAGAAACACATTTGAATTATTCTAGTCTACCTATTATATATCTGTTGACCAGTAAACAATGCCCCTATTATACAATAGTCTCACAGTTAGTTTTAAAATATGCCATCTGCTTCCTCCTTGCAAGTTGGCAGTGTTAGCAGAGGTACAGTGTAATAAGTTAACTGGTTCTGTATATATTGTCTCACTTTGTAATTAATTCACTTTTATTTGACTTTTGATATCTGCAGGGCAGTACCTTGTGATCAGAAATTGTCAGAACTCGAAGCCAATCTTCATAGCTACTGACTTAAGCAGCACTAAAAATGTTTCTACAAGATCCTTTCTACTCACTCATGATTGATTTCCAGTGTTTCCAATGGCTTTGACTGCTGTTACTATGCCTTGAATGTGCAGGTGTTAAATTTGTCCTACATTGGTAGATATACATGTACATACAGTATACTGTATAGCTCCTCTGATATTGTTGCTATATTGAATGGTCGTTAGCAAAAAAATACAATGTACATAGTGCAACTCGTTCACGTTCATTTTCCTAACCGTACTTTCCTCTATTCGAGCAATCACAGCCATTAAAATGCCTTTACGTTATTATTAGGTAAAAGTGTCATCTGTATTTTACACCATAGTCGTGACATTTTCTGCAATAGTTTCAATCATTCAGAGGCGCCAATGTGCCACAGATACATGTAATTATTGGTATCGCACCCTTTACTCCCTCGGTACATGTGCCACTCGTGTTGTTGCAAATAGTGAAAGAGCGATATGTACACAAGTTGAACATTTTCCATAAATACAGCTGGTTGTAGGTTGGTGGAAGTCCCTACACTGTGGTGTGGGTTGGGGTGCGAGGTTGGAGGTTCATGGTTTTACACACCCAACCGGCAAAGTCCACGTCTTCCGACTCAGACCTCTTGATAAACGGGTGAACCTGCAAGAAGATCAAGTGAATTTAAAGAGTTGCTGCTTCCTTGCATTCTTGTAAAGCAAATTTTTTAACATAACTTGTTTGTGATGGGGAAAGGAACCCACCACAAGCAAAACATACGTATAAAAGAATCTCTCTTTCGTGTTCTAGCCATTTTTTCTGTCATGTCGATTTTGTTTGACATAATACATGTATAATGTCCAGCACCGAACATGATGGGTTTTAATGAGTTTGGTAGCATGCTCCCCCTGGGCTATTTTTAAACTTTGATCCTCGGGCCTCTAAAATGCTATTTCCTGCATTTTGAGGGCCAAGTTTTACTGGTAGACTAACCTTAGTTGAATGAGATCTCCTTACATATCTTTAAAATAATGTCCCAATTTTTGTCCCTGAAAGATGACAGATTGGGCAAATTTCTTGTCCGCCATGAGCATCGAAATTCCATCCAATGATGGAATGACAGATGCTGGCTAGAACAATACTGATCCTCATACTTCTACAAGGCTGAGACAGAATAACTCACCATCAACTGTTTCAAATCTGCTCTTTCTGCTGGGTTTTTCACCAAGCTGGAAAAGAAAAAAACAGACGTACTTAGAGAGAAATTACAACAACAACCTTGTGCACTGCTTTAACAAATCTACAGTAGAATCATCATCATGTAGAAAATACAGTGGAAAATACAAGATATTATACATTTTTGAAGTTGGTAATTATCTCAACATGTCCAATGACGGACTATTGTTTTAAATAAATCCAAGGCCGACTTACCACTTATCTACAAAGTCAATGAACTTGTCTGTGAAGATCTTTCTTGGGAGTTTGGGAGGAGACTGAAATACAAGCAACAAAGAATTACAACATTGATCAATAATGGACTTCATCAGAAGTGAGTCAACATACCAGGGCAAAATCCAACATGATGTCTCCATTGGCAGATGGTCACAAAATATTGCCTGGCAGTTGTCAAAATATCTAAAACAGAGCATAATACATTTTTTAAACATATGCATCTAATTGGAAATTTATACCGTAAAAAATATAGCACCCACCTCATTAACAATGTAGTCCAACAGTTCAAAGATGGCCATAGGTCGGGGCCCATCCCCTCCAGGGTGGGGCATGTTGAATGCTGAAACAACACGAGTTCACATCAGCAAGAGAAACCATCATCCTGCGTTACATTCAAGATAAGACTCATACTACCGTCAGGAGTCCGAGTCATAGTAGTTCTGCTTTGTACCTGTAAGTCTGTTACTATTTTAACTACGTGTTCTTATGATGTTGATTTTTAAATGTCTGATGATGATGATGTTTTTAATCTATTGTGATGATGTTTGTATGTTGTATACATGTAATTGTAAAATGTCAATGCAATTCAGACGTGCCCGAAGCACGTCTGCCATGTTGATATTTAATAAAGATTTGATTAACCCAGGTCCGGATTCAAGTCGGTTCAGGTTTAGGTCCAGGTCTTCTCAGTGAACATTTCCCAATGGAAAATGGGGCATCTTTACTGCAAAATATATGTGGTTTGCGGGGCACGTCTGGGCAAAACTTTGGCCACATGATATGGGGGGCAGACACTTGATGCTGACCAATGGCAATGTTTTCTTTGACTTGAAGATTTCAGGTGGTTTAGAACAAAAAGGGGAATGTGACATGATTTTTTGTTTTGTAAGTCTGGAACTGGTTCCAGAGGTTCAGGTTTTTGTGGACTTGAACCTAAACATTTTTACAAGTATGGAACTAGTTCCAGCAAACTGGTACACAGCACTAGTTCAGACCTTAAGACAGATGTGAATGAAATTTTGAATCTTGTATTCACAGGTAGGTCTGACTTATTTTTGTCGTGAGTGACAAAATTATCTCATAATGACAGAAAGACGGATGCTGGTGAGAATAGTATAGAGAAATCCCAGAGTTGTTACTCACTGTTACTGAGAGGCCTGCCCGCTGGTCTGCCTGCTTGTGAGGGGGAACTGCTGGACGCAGCATAGTCCGGGTCCAGGGACTCAGGAGGGACGTCAAAAATGGCGGCCATGTCCTTGGGTTCTGGGGGAGGGATGGGGTAACGCCCCACCGCCATCTCCACTAAGGACAGACCCATGCTCCAGATGTCTGACTGGACAGAGTAGTGAGTTCCCTGCAGTCTCTCTGGCTGTGGGAAAATACACAACAGGGTTGGACAAGTCTACTACACAACAGGCCTTTCAGGGTAGTTAACTCTGTCAGTCTGTAACACAAACACGTGTTACAGACACATGTTTGTGTTATACTTACAGACACTGGGACCCACCAGGGACAGGCAAATTAATACATGATTAGTGTAACTTGATATCAGTACAGTACCAGTACTTTGGTGTTTGGAACCAGTACCTAATCATTTTTTGCTTCAAGGGGACCAGCTATTTACACATTTTAGGCTACAAATAGGCATATATCATGAGTTCATTTCAGTACAGTACCGGTACACAGCCCTACTTACCGACATGTAGGACCTGGTTCCCACAAAGGAGTTTGCCATGGAGTCTATGAGCTGCCCGCTGACACCAAAGTCACACAGTTTGATCTCCCCTCCAGAGTTCACAAGGATGTTGGAGGGCTTCACATCTGTGTGGACAAGTTTGGTAGATCATTAGGAAATAACATGTCAGTACATGTATATGTATATATACATGTGTACACAATGACACACACAACTGCATTTTTTGTCAATGACTGTATATTTGACAGCTGAGATGTAGCCATGGCCTGTAGATTGTACAGGGTTCAAAATACAAAATTTGTAGTTTGACCGATTCCAAAATCATATCCAGTTGCTTGAGTAACTGCTTTTTGATGTATCGTATTACCTGGATGTCTAACCTTCATCGACGTACAAAATTTGTAGTTTTTTTCTATAAGGCCATGTTGATTTGATTATATGGATGACATCCTCTGGGAACCCCAAAACTGATGCGAGCGTGGAAATTAAAAAAAAAGTTTTGCAAAAAAAAGTCGCTTTCATTATGAAATCTACGTGGTCATGAAGGTTGAACAAATGATACAGAGTATGGTATGGTGAATAACTCTCTAAATTCCTTTCTTTACATTTTCATTTTTTTCATTTAATTTCGGCCTTCTATGACATGGGAATTGTTTTCAAATATTTTGTTGCAACTTACGGTGTACATTTGCTCATTTTGCAACTGTTTTGTATGATTTACAGTATGGTTGAAAACTCCTTTTTTTTGGAAACGGCCGAAAATTCATGCCCACGTGGATGTCATCCATATAATCAAATTAACATGGCCTGAAGCAAAAGCTAGGTTGTCCATCAATATTTCAGTTTGCTGTCAACATCGGCTGTTTATTTTGGAAGGCAAGCTGTAAGCCAGGCCACCTGTAAAGGTATCGCTCACATGTTGGCTGAGCAAGGAAGGACACACTTTATGTCCTCCCAAAAATATGATAGCTTAAGCACTGGGCAACCTAGCATCTCCAATAAGTCTGGCACAGAAAACATGACATGCACTGGGAAAGTGTGAGAGTGACTGGGTTCACCCAGTATTTGAAACCCTGATCTGTAGCCATGCTGGCGTGTGGCCAGCTGCCATGGTGTGACAGTCAGGCCTAGGAAAAATAATGTTGCGTTTCCGGTTTCCCGACCGACCCCAGAAAAAACTGCCGACCCTAGCCTTTTTTGTGTGGACCCCTGCAAGGGACAGAAATTTTTCACTGATCAACCTTTTCTCGCTCCATAATCTGACACCTGAGTGATGAAACATATGTATTGTACAATCTGTTTTCCAACATGGAAAGTGTCCTCATGGAATTTTTCCTTGTTAAATGTATAATTTGTAGATAATCCCTACCTATCGACCCTAACTTTTTTCAGGACTGAAACAGGAAACACAATATTTTTTCCCTAGGCCCCAGCAGCACACAGCCATCACGTGTTTGCCTTCCCAGGCACACGGCTGTCTAGACAGACTTACAAATATTACATCAGCGAGTCAGTAACTACATTTGTACTTCCCTTCTAACCTGCTCTTGTCACATAAATATCCCTTCTGTTCTCAGTCATGTGTAAATCATCATCAGGCCACACCAATTTAATATGTTGGTTCTCGCATTTTTCTCTGATTTGCAAAAAAAAAAAATTCTGGTTCTGAATCAACTCTAAGAAATTTTGCCTATAGTACAAGGTGAAAAACGTATACAAATATACACCAACCAGAAGTATCACACATTAAATACATGTATGTTGTAAATTGTTTGTTACATTAGGTGACAATCATATATAAATAAATTATACATACATGTATATTGAATATACATACCTCTGTGCATGATTTGGTGTTTCTCTCGTAAATATGTCAAACCCTTTAAAACCTGCGGGTAGAACAGAAATACAACATCAAAAAAATACAAACATGAAACGAAATACTACTACAGTAACACTACTGTAACAATGGCACACATCACTGGAAAGGAACATACACTCTTGAAATTTGCCTAACTAAAGTCTAACAATGCATTTTAATGGGTGCAATCCAAATCATTGCCAAAACACACACTCATTCAAAATGAATGTCATAAGGAATGTGAAGTACTTACAGCAATACTAATCTTGCCTAAAATTTGTTCATGGATCTTCCCTGCTTTCTTCAGAATCAAGTCCAAGGAACCTCCATCCTGATGTAAAAACAAAAGGAAAAGCCTGGTTAATGGATTTTTTTAAAGCAAAAACAATACTGTTGAATGAAGTTCCTAAGTGTAAGTTCAAGACTTCCATGGCATTGGCAAGAGAATTGTATTGTTGTCAAATAGAAATAGGATTTGAAGACATCCAAATCAAATTCAAACTTAATCAAAGCAAACAAGAGCTACCGGTATCTGACATCCAAAATTCATGCAACTAGCATGTCCAGATCTCAAGATATAAAATCCAGAAGTTTTGCTGCAGTGCCATGACAAGCCACCAGGGGTCCCAAAGTTTAATCATTTCCAAGTCTCATCCATATAAATACCTACCCGCCTACCAAGTTTCATGACAATCCATCTAAAGCTTCTTGAGTTATTGTGCTAAACCACACACAAACGCTACGGAAAATATAACCCACTTGTACACAATTTATCACACACGAACACAGGTAGATATCATGTCTGAATCCCCCATCCCAGGCCCCTGATTGTTCCTGGCGTAACACGTTTCTAATGACATCCATGGTCGTGTTGAAACTGTGCCAGTGGAACCCTGTGATAGCAAATACACCTGAGGGGAAGACAGTGCACCTCTCATTCAAAAGGTTTCAATGAGACTGAGAGCAATACTAGTACCATCTTCAGAACTCATCTGGCCATAAAATTTTTAAAGACTCCGGACAATAGCGACCAGAAACACAGTCAGGGATAGAAATACTACGGGAGCAGGGCTCGAAATTCATTTATGATAATAGGTGCACTGGTGCACCCAAACTAAAAATGTAACAAAGTGGGTGCACCACAAAATTTTTGGATGCATCATATAAGATAAAATAAATTGTTGTCATCAAAAACTAACTAAATTACTACAATCATGACTGTACTATACATTTACATCTTCACATCTTTACATACATACATGTAAACCTATGAAAATATTTGGGGGCATGCATGCACCCACAGAAAAAAATAGGGTGCACAGCTCCAAATTTGGGTGCTCTAAGGTGCACATGCACCCAGTATTTCAAGCCCTGTGGGTGCATATATATGCACCTTAGTGCAGGTAAAATTAATTGGGGCCTCTGCCATCTATCTGCACCTAACCTGCACTGGTCCATGTACTAAGGTACATTTACAAGTGTATGTGGATTTTTATTTGCTGCATTGACTGTTGCCACCTTTGAAGAGTACAATAAATAATGGCAATAGTTTCTGAACAGTTTTTAGTATGATCCATGATACTTTCTAAATTCTGAGTAGTGCAGGTAAAATTTGCCTGGTGCGGGTAATTTTCAATGTGACCTGCACAGTCTACAGAAAGAGGATTTTGAGCCCTGACATGTCATAACATCAGAATTAGAAGTGATGCCCTTGGCAAGCATGAATGTGTTTCCTGTGTTTATGCCTAGAATGTACGTAACACAAATAACAGCTGTACCAAGCTGCCTCATACAGTCTTCGGTGACCTCGCGTTTCATTACTGTCTGCCGTGCCCGCATCAAAACCCTTGGAACAGAAAAAGGGCATCTTCAATACATAATTTATAACTCCAAAGCCATACTTCATTACACCAAGAGCAATCCACGGCCACACGTATGAATACTTCATAGGTCAAATATTCCCTTTGCTGAAGTAAATCTGATGCTGTAACATCCAATGATACAATTTGCTGGGCCTACACAGTGAAGATACACTTGACAAACCCTACTGACCTTACTTCTGATGTACATCATATTAGACAATGCACATGGCTGAAGACATCAATATACTTACTGTAATTCTTCATTTTTTTATGGTTCTATGTTCATGGTTTTCATGGCCCCTTTTAATTAACCATGACCTTAACATTACTGTTTTCAAATGATTTCTCTTTCTTCCCTCCTCCCCATTTTCTGCCACCGTAAAAAAATGTCCATTTTCCTCAGTCAGACAGTGAACTTTTGCTACTGTGAAGATTAAGTGAATTTAAGTACATGTCATGTATTACATACCTGCAGTTATGCCCACATGACAACTTTGTGCACACCTGCTACTAGTATGTATACAGTTTCATGAATTATTATTGTATGCAGCTCTCTGTTTTATTTCCTGTTCAGTGTGCAAGGCAAAATTTACATGTTTACAGCCGAACAACTTTTCAAAGAAATTTCCAAGCCACTGAGCACATTTCACAGAATACTAGTACCCTGTAACCCATAATCACCAGCGCAACAAAGGATGGTGGTTTATGATTATTGCTCAGAAAAAAGATGACGTAAAATTCCAGTTAGAAAGGAAGGTCACAATTCAACACAAGCATTACTAGTAGTTGGTCCAGGGCCATTATAAGATCCTTGGTACCAAGATCACCAGGACTTTGAAACTAAACCTTGTCATAACAAGAGGACCCTAGGAATCTTTTGTTGTATGGATAAATGTACGTGTATGTAAGTGGAATGGAATTTCTATTGTGAAATTGGCAAGGAAACAAAACAAGAAGACAAAGGATTACCAAGTATCCAGTTGCATTTTTTTGGGGTCGAGTATCCTCAAAAAAAAGAAGAAAAATCCACCTGCTAGAGACCTGAAAAGAATTAACCCCTGACATCCGGTATTCAACAAATTTACCAAATACAGTACAAACTTGCCCAAGCATCCACCTTTACAAGCCGGCCACCTGACCCCTACGCTGTGAAAAAATTCTGGTGAGAACCTGCTAAAAATCACCCTTGACACTATGAATAAGATCTCACACTAGACACACTAGGTTTATTCATTTATTGACTTATTTATGAAGATTTACCACATTTGTGGAAGGATTGACATGACAGGTGACTATCACCTCTTCAAAGATGTCAAACCTGAGACCAGACTGTATTGAGGTTTGAACCACTCACACTGGGAAGGTCCTCTACTCTTTTTGATAAGTGTGGTGGGTTCTTTAACATGTGTGGGGTGTTGCTCTCCCAAACACGGGACTTCCTTTTAACGTCCTATCCGAGGGACGTCCCTAACCGAAGCTAGGTACTCATTTTCAGGTTACTTACCATATACTCCATACAGATGCTGATCTCCCCGTCGCTGTAGAAAGCCCCGTAGAAGCCCACGATGTGGGGGGAGTTACATTCATGCAGCACCTTCAACTCACGGATAATCTGATTCCTAATGGCTGGCTTGATCTCGAGGTGGATCAGCTGAAAAAACAAGACGGCAAATACATAAACCTCAGGTAATACAAGTTAAGGGATTCAAAAACATGACAAGGTAAAAAACATGTACCAGGAAGGCCGTACAAGGATGTGCCCACTCAAAGTAGTCCCTTTGAGGAGTTTCCGCGGGTTATGGTAAAGAGTATAGCAGATTGAAGAACAAACTGGAAAGTAGGAAATTCATAAGCAAGGAAACCTCAAAGAAAGGGCAGAGGTACAAAATGTACAGCTGTTAATGTACAAAATGCTCTAGATGTACAAAATGAAACAACGTATAGGACATGAAAGGACAGGAAATGGAAAGGAAGCTTTTCTCTCTAACAATACAAAAACAGCCATCTCAGACTCAGGATTTTTTGTTTCTGTGTGATACACGTTTTCTGACAGTACTATATATAGTCTATCCCTTCGGTTTTGGTACACCATGTATTTTTCATATTTTAGTTCAGACACTTCTCACAATTACACTTAATTTTATTTTATTTTTAAAGAATTATAGTGAGTCAAAATTCTGTTCAGGAAAAATCCTCCTCCAATTTTTCTATAGCACTTTTATTAGCAGTTCCTACAATGGACTTCATAGATCTTAAGAATTACAAGTAAGAATAACAGCAAAAGTCCTCCATTTCTTTAAACCAAAAAAAATTGTTCACGGCTGAGTGTCCCTGACATTTGAACGCCTGATACTCCATACAACAAACCAACCATGTTGAATAATACATGTCTTGTACACACTGACCTATATGTGCATGTACGTATAATACCCCTCAAGTACACAGTGATCTTGTTCTTTATTCCCAGGAAATGTGTTGTGACGTAAAGGGTGGTTCCTATTTCCTCAGTCTATATTTACAGCCTCTGAAAAACTGGCTCTATGTCCTAGAAACAAATGCAGTGTTTCCCGTTTCCCAACCCATAGAAAAAACTGCCAACCCTAGCCTTTTTTTGTGTGGACCTCTGCAAGGGACAAATTTTTTGAGCTGATTGACTTTTTCTAGCTCCATGATCTGACACCTGAGTGATGAACATTGAAAATATAAGTGTCCTCATGCAAGATTTACTTTATTAAACTATATTGTATATTAAGTAACTGTTGGATTATTAGAGATCAACATTTAATTCCTATCTACCGAACCTAATTTTTTCAAGACCGAAACAGGAAACACAAAATTTCTTTTCCTAGGCCTAATGATTGATCATGTAGTAATTCATTCAACCATGCGCTCTAAATAAGTGGATGTTAAATATATACACACCATACTGAAAGGAATATACGTCAATGATACCCTCCAATCTAAATCTGACCTTGGATGTTGGCCTTATTTGTACACACTAACAAGCACTCAGTACTTTTTATTATTATACAGTCTCTATCTGATTCATCTGAAGCATGTAAGCCCTAACGTTAAATGCATCCAATGGAATTTCAGGGCGGCATTTAACAAAAAATATTCTGGATGAGGAAATCTGTCTGATATTGACATTTAGTGACATTTCTTAGCACATGTTTGGCATCATTTCATACTTGGAGTGTTTGAAACTGCCAGGTACTTGGTGGTACATGGAACGTAACAGTCCCACAATAACACACACCAGGAACAATGACCTAGATGTACCAGTCTAATCAAAGCTAGTTTACCCTTCTTCTTCTTCTTCTTCGTTACTGCCCAGCACTACAGAGTAGTATTATTGGCAGTCGTTACGCATTGTTAGTAACATTTGTGCCCGGTACATAAAAAACAAAGGGAAAAACAAGGATAACTGAGAAAGGAACATAAGACAACTGATTTTGTGTGTGCTAAAGACAGGACAAGTGCATTAGTGCGTTAGTAATATTTACATATATACAAGACATGATGGGGTGACTCAATGCAGCAGGGTCCTTGCCAGTTCAAATTTGAACTGGGCGAGAGACCCCGCCTCCACCGCACCAGGCTCAAGTTCGTTCCATTCCCTGATGGTACGGGGGAAGAACGAGAGCCTGTAGAAGTTGGTTCTGCTCGCGATGGCCTGCAATGTTTGAGTGTGATTGATGCGGCGGGAGCATCGAGCCACCGGGACAATCCTGGTTGAGTGTGGGACGGAGACAGCATTATGTATAATCTTATAAAACATGACCTGGCGGGCGATCTTCCGACGTGCTTCCAGAGACTGCCAGCCCAGGTTTTGCAACATAGTTGTAACAGAGCTTGTACGTTTGTAGTCACTGCTGACAAAACGGGCAGCTCTACGCTGGACCATCTCCACCCTACTCACCTGGTCCTTGGTGTGGGGATCCCAGACACTACAGCCATACTCTAAGGAGGGTCTGAGAATACAAACCAGAGGCTCCAAGAGGCACCAGCTGGAAATGAATATTATCTTCAACTACCAACTAAAACCATCAATATGAATGCAGTCCAGTGTTCTACTTCTAGTCTGCATCCGTCTTTCCGTTGCTTGAGGGAATTTTGACGCATGTGACGGACAAATGTTTTGCCCAAACCGCCATCTTTGGGGGACAAAATCAGCGTAAAGAGACAGAAAGAGATACATGTATCATGAAACTAAGCTTAGTCTTTCAGCCAAATTTGCTCCTCAAAATGTGGTAAATAGCATTTCAGAGGGTCAAGATTTCAACATTTCAAAATGCCCATACACCATCTAGGATCACTGTGCCTTGATGTTACATTAAACAAAATTGACATGACAGAAAAAAATTAAGGACTGGCTGGAACACTGTACAAACTTCAGACTGCAAGCAAGAGGCAACAAATATGTCTTGAAGTACCAACTAAGACCTGTAGTGACTACTGACCAAATCCATTCATATGAATGCAGTCTACTAGTCTAGTTCCGTCTACTTACCTTCCTCGCCATTATAAGCCCAGAGGGCTTGTGTTTAACTTTTGTAACCACGCCCCCATTTCCTGCGCCTAGCTCGCCCAGCTTTTCCAAGTCCTCTGCGTTCAGCTCTCCGACTTGTTCCTTCTGCGTCAAGAACGCTTCCAGTCTTTTTCTCTGCTGGTCGTCCAGCTCGAGCTCTTCTAGCTTCTTCTGCAGAGCATCGTAGTTGCTTTTCTGTTCAGCAGTTTGCCTGTGGTAACATTGTAACAACAAAAGGTACTAGTAAGTCATTTGTTTGCCTGCTTCCTTTATTATACATCGTGATAAGATATAGAATTCCAAAAGGCAGGAAAAATGAAATGTTCAGTTAGGATTTAAGGGAACAAACATGCTGGTTTAAACAATTTCATGACAGAATGAGTATAGCTAACTACACCAAAGTCATCCCAACATAGCAATAATCGAACTAAAACAATTAGGATATTTGTTTTACCACTGTACTCGTATACTATAATGTATTACTAGCCTAAAATATGAAGCACCTATGTACTGTGACACTGTTACAACCATACCATCAATGTGGGAATTTTTCCAGTGTTATAAGATTATAGTCAACCTTGTCCCAGGACCTGTTATTTGCCTCTAAAATATGCATTAATAAGTGCTTTCCAAACACCTTTGCTAGCGGGAGTCAGAGCACCCAATGCCACCCATCCTATAACAATACTCACTTAATAACCACGGACACGCGTTGTTGTTGTTTGGCTGAGCTCTTAGGCTGGGCAGAACCGCCCTTACCTACTTTTTTCTTGGGACAACCTCATCACTTGCCTGCTCTTTTACTTCCTGCTTGGTTGTACTTGTAGTACTGAGAAAAAGTAATCCAACCAATAGCATCGTGTCAAACACAAGCAACCAAATACAACTGGGAATAAAATGCAGTAAGGCATCGTGATCGCTTTGTATTTTGTATCAGAATGTAATCATTTTTGGCCATTAAAAATATCTGCATTTCAATTTTTACTGCGCTGTTGTCCAAGTTTATGTTGACCTCATCATAATGTTATCTTGCACTTGTTAATACCTGATATACCACTGCTTCTCTATATGCATACAAATTCATATATTACAGGAGAGTTGCAAAATTCAAGAGGAGATGGGCACAACTTAATTACCTGGCAGATTTGCCACTACATCACGTTGAGTGATTAAATCCAGTTTGGCCCAGATGGTGCCTCTACATGTAGTAGATGACATTGAAAAACACCACTACTTTACCAGGGGTTTCCCCATTATATAAATTCTGAGGGGAGAGGTGCTCCCTAATCGGTTGATGAAAAATCAGCCAATTTTCATGTAAATACTATGAGAAAACCCTAAATTTGAACATTTTGGGAGGGGTTCTAGGATTTTGGGAAGAGGAGGAGCACCTTTGCTCCATTGCTTGGGGAGAGCCCTGTTTACAACAGTACTTCCGAAAATAATTTCACCAGGTTGGTCGAACATAGGATGCGGAGATTTTCTTTGTACACAACTGGTTAAGTCTCTCCCCTGCTTATGGTAGAAGCTCTGAGGAAGATGTCTGAGAAACATATATTAGCAGGTGAGAGACAGTACAGGTTGTCATCATTTTGTGTACAATGAAAATCTCAATATCCCAATAACAATACTACACAGATATGTGACTGTAACAGCAACTGTCGTATTGTATATATATATGTAGTTATCCGGCCCGCACTTTTGATGCATTCTGACCCTGTAGAAAGGTCAAATCCTGGGTGTGACTGGTGGCCCTTGAAGGTGGGCGTTCACAGGAAGTCGACATAGGAGGAGGGGTATAGTACAGGCGGGGGAAGCGGATGTGTATATATATATCTTTGGAAAGGAATGCAATTACGTCTGGTGACAAGCTAGAAAACCCCCACCTTCTTTCACATTCCTTCGGTGAAAATATAGCTTACATGTTCGTGTCACCTAAATTATAATTTCGACACATAAATTGATCTTTCCCAGGGGGAATTCCCTTACACTAGCCACGAAGAGCGGTTGTCACGAATACTTTACATACAGTCTCGGTAGAAATCAGGTTTCAGGGGATTTAAAAGTTGATGATTCTTAGAAGGTAGATGAAAAATAAAAGCTTCGTGTGTAAAAAAAACCACTAGCTCGGTGACATAAATTCTGTTTGTACTCACTCGGATTTTCCAGCGTTTTGCTCGTCTGCCGGAGTAGCGATCGTCAAACCAAGCTTGTTCAAGTCCCTCTTCCTCTTCGCCTTTGCGTCCGCCATTTTCACTTTCAAGTGGACAGAATCAGTTCTGTGGTTCTTCTCGTGCGTGTGTTGTACACTATACAGGCCGGGCAAATATTATAAGCGAGCGGTAGTACAGAAAGTGGAGACTCCAACACGACATCAACCATCACCAACGTCCGACTGGGACGCTCGGTACACTTTCTCCTCAGCGTAACCCATAATATGCTTGGCCTAATGAGTAAATGGCGTTCCCAGCCAATGATATTTGGGGTGAACAAAATCTAAACCAATAAGATCTGTACTCTACGTACAAATAGCCAATCAGAGCTCCCTTAGTAAAACACGTTCGGGATTACAAAGCAAAATGAAACCGGGAGGGAAAATCCGTTAGTTATAAACTTGGATCTTTGTCGTTTCTATACTTCGAGAAACAATAATGAAATTCTATAAAATTGCTAATGCTCCATGTATATTCCCTCAGTCCCATTCTTTTCTATATGATAGTGCAGTTAAAACTGCTTTATAAGCACATATAGGAAGCAAGCAACACCCCTAGTAGTTAATGGTGCTCCCCTAATGACATACCCACAAGCCCCTGCACTTCCTCTTTCGTCGGTGGGTTCAGGTAAGATGGAGGACAAAATGTGAATGTTCGTACTATCCACGGCATCCTGTACCTATCATGATGTATAATCAGTCGGAACCATTAATCAGATATTCTTTAAACTATCCAGAATCATTTGAGACCAAATTTCCCTCAGAACCGTTTGCCATCGGAAAATGTCACACATCCGTAGCAGACGATGTTTCCATCCTAGGCTCCTACCATGATGATAGAAATCGTCAGGCCGATAGAGTCAAATTTAACATTTTCTCAGGATGGAACCCATACGTTCTATACATTCTACAGAATACACCAAAAGCTAGATCTGACTCTAAAGACGTTCTTTCGATACACGTTCTGATGTAATTATACAGACTACACTTTCCCTACGTTCATACGTGGAAAGTTTACAAGTGAGCCATGCATGGTGCACAACACTTCCAACTAAACCAAGAATTCCCAACTCAGTACATGGAACCGTTTTAGCGTCTTAAATTGCGTTAACTCCCACAGGCACCGCCATTCTTCCATATTATTGTCACATGAGGAATATGTAGAAAATATAAATAATTTAGAATCTACATAATTTTTGTGACAAATTATAAGATAATACATGGTTGAAAATGCTACTACTTGGTCAATCATAAAGTATGTGGGTTGTTAGGGAAAGACTGCATGTGTTAGAGTAGACAAATAAATCATTATTATATAAGTACAAGTTGATGTATTCTAATGTAGGTTATCTTCTGTTTATCAAAACCACAGGTAACTGACCATCACCATGACTCGGTACTCACTAGACCCGGAGAACGCCACCAAGTGTAAGTCAGAATTTTGATTCAACTACTGTACTGATTTTGTGTTTGAACTTAACTAATTAATGTTTGGTCTGCAATATCAACCAATTCAGTTACCCTGTACGTTCATTTACATGTTGTCTATATTTCTTATTCCTTGCAGCATGTAAAGCCCGTGGCTCCAACTTGCGGGTGCACTTCAAGGTAAACACTATTTTAAAATTATCTTATATAGTCAAGGCCAAATTATACGAGATCAACACAAAACATGTTTAATTATATCAGCTTTGAAGTGTGGAGAAGTTTTTGCTCCCCAACTTTCCGGTGTACCAATACAGTGATAATAATTAATACCATGACGTACATGTATATGTAGGAAGACAAATTTTTGTATTCGAAAGTGACCTGCAAGAGTATTGCGTTCCACTGGAATGGTGTGCCTTAGAAGTCTGTATTTTGGATTGAATACACTACTATCTTTGATGACAACAAGTTCCAAAGTACTGCGGAGCATTGTCACCCTATATACATGTTGAGAAAAACACCTCCCTGTGCACAACCCTCACAGAATACCCGCGAAACGGCCAATGCGATCAAGGGCATGCACATCCGCAAGGCCACCCGTTTCCTGAAAGATGTCACTGCCAAGAAGCAGATCGTGCCCTTCCGCAGGTACAACGGTGGTGTGGGACGCAAGGCACAGGTAAGAGCTATTCAGTAATTAAGATAGTGGCTTTAATGTGTAAAATGTAAAAAATTTCAGGCTTGCAAGAACACCGTTGGAAGTGCAAATTATAGATTTGTTATTGGCTTTTGTAATTTGTTCATTATGAAGTGATGTTCTTTTTTTTATGGCTCATTTTAGTTGTTTCTGTTTGGCATTCCTTGTAATTATGGCCTTCTCGTGCTGTGTTGTAGTGTAAAGCCTGGCGCTGGACTCAGGGACGTTGGCCCAAGAAGAGTGCGGAGTTCCTGCTGCAACTGCTGAAGAACGCAGAGAGCAATGCTGAATTCAAGGTACAGTACTTTGTCATTACACTCAAAACTAAGAAAGGAACCAGTTGTGATGCAAGGCTGACGTATAAGGGGGCTTATGTCTCATTGTTTGTTTCATTATGGTCTCCATTAGTTTACACTATTCTTCCATAGTAAATCACCAACTTTCAGATAGCAGTCTTTGAACCATTGCAAACTGGGGATACTCTTTTCGAAAGGTGTGGTGGGTTCTTTTATGTGTGTAGGTTCTTGCTGTCCCCAAACACAGGACCTCAACTTAACATCAGAGATATCATTAAACTAAGTCTAGTACTAGTAGCTTAGGCTGCCAGCAAAATTTGCCACTCAAAATGCCATCCAAGGGACATCCCAAACCGAAGCTAGGTACTCATTTTCAAGTGAGTGAAGTGTAGAATGTCTTGTAAGGTGCCTTTCCCAAGGGCACAACAACAAGACACATTGGTGGATTCGAACCCAGTTGGTGGGTTCTGGGCCAAACAACCTAACCATTTTGCCACATGATTCCACTCCAGGGCTATAAATACTGGGTGCATGTGCACCTTAGTGCACCCAATTTTTTAGCTGTGCACCTGTCCAACTCACTTGATAAGAAGGAAAAGTGTTAGCAGTGCCTTCATGTTTGATTGTGTATGTACTTGCAGGGTCTGGATGTGGACTCCCTGATGGTGGAGCACATCCAGGTGAACCGGGCTGCCAAGATGAGGCGCAGGACATACAGAGCCCACGGCCGTATCAATCGTACGTATTTTGTATGTCAACAGTTCCTCTGACATGATGACGAGGTAAAGCCCAGTTACAAATCTGGGTTCTGGAAGTTCAGACATTTTTGCCTCTCTCTCTTCCATCATATATTCGTCTAAAAGTATTAATTCAAACAGAATCTAAATAATGCTTCTGTTGGATTAAAATATTTATTCGTCAGTGAAGGTTAGACATCCAGGTAATAATATGCGTCAAAAGACACTTACTCGAGCAACTGGATATGATTTTGGAAATGGTCTGACGTTTCAAGTAGCATCCACTACCTTTCTGACAACTCTCCAGTGTCACTGACGAAAGGTGATGGATGCTACCTGAATCGTCAGACCGTTTCCAAAATCATATCCAGTTGCTTGAGGAACTGTTTTTGGCATAAAATATGTATTGCCTAGTGAACATATGAGGACAGTATCTTATATTAATGTTTTATAGTTTTCCTTGTGAATGGTACATTACTCAGAACAAGCAAAGAACACTGTAAGCTGACAAGTTTGTGTTGTTTGCAGCCTACATGAGCTCTCCCTGCCACATCGAGATGATCTTGAGTGAACAGGAGACTGTCATCGCCAAGTCTGAGGATGAGGTGTCGAAGAAGAAGGTCTCCAAGAAGAAGCTGGCACGTGCGAAGATGATGCAGCGAGAATAATAACTCCACTTAGACAAGACTGACACCAACTACAGTCCAATAAAATATTCGCTACCTATGTTTTTGTCTTATTACTTGTCATCTTCTGTGTTCATATCCAAGAGTGTGCTTTGGGAGTGGGTTAGAGGGGCTCTGCACTCCAGAAGCGGGTATTATTTTCTGATAGATAATATTTTGGGGGATACAAAGGCACCTGACTTTTGGTTAAATTACCTCAGCTGTCTTTTAGACAACAATCCTTTTCTAAATCCATGTACCCCCAATCCCCATACAGACCCACTTCTAATGTACAGTACTGTATACGCACGTTTGCCTGTATGGTCAACTTTGGGCACGATTTCTTGCTAACAATAGACAGGCTTTAGCGTAACAGCAGCATTCGAGTGACTATCACACATTTAGGAAGGTTCACAAAACAGTTTTTACATTTAGGAAGGTTCACAAAACAGTTAAAAACCTAAGCCGTTCTTGGGATACAGAGATTTGGGTACTTTGTCAAATGATGATTGACCTCCATCAACACAGTGCGCATTGAACTCTAGGAATGTTGAAAGGGATTACTGAAAGGGTCTTTCTGGGATTTTTATGGATTGGATCACTGATGTATTCAGGCTAAAGGTAAATATGACACAACAAAGTGTATTCCAGCATATATAACAATTTATTCTCTGATGAATCATGATACCTGCTTCTGCAGTAGAGAGCTCCTTTAAGTAGATAAGTCATTATTTCTATTGCAGAGAATATCCACGTGTAATGTAATGTTGAGGCCAGGATGTAGATCGTAACGGGGATTGAAATGTGACAGATAGTAACAGGGTTTGAAATGTGCGCTCTCGGTAATCTCCAAGCAGATCCCTATCGGTGGCAAGACTGTAATCTCCAAGCCGATCCCTATCGGTGGCAAGACTGTATTCTCCAAGCAGATCCCTATCGGTGGCAAGACTGTATTCTCCAAGCAGATCCCTATCGGTGGCAAGACTGTATTCTCCAAGCAGATCCCTATCGGTGGCAAGACTGTATTCTCCAAGCAGATCCCTATTGGTGGCATGACTAATCTCCAAGCAGATCGGTGACGGTGGTGAGCTAAACTCCTATGGCTAATGGATACTGTCTTTTGCCACCGATAGGGATCTGCTTGGAGATTGGCTCTCTGCACTTAAGTCGTGGCATCTGTGTGAGACTTAGTGGAGTTGCCAGGTTGCCCAGTGCAGTCACAGCCAGCATAAGAGTGAGTAATACCTTTATAGATAGCCTGGCTTACATCTTGCCTTCTGAAATAACCGCTGGTGTTGAAGGGTAAATAGGCATCCTAGCTCTTTGCTTAGGTTGCCTAGTCGGCAAAAAAGTGTTTCAAACCGTCACAAAAGTGAGCCCTAACCGGAAAATGTTTGCAGTATCCAAGTGTTGTTAAGGGATTACAATCAAAAGTGTTGGAACTTGTGGCATTAGCCTGGTATTTGCTGCTGAATTTCAGGCAACTATCAAACAACTGAGTAGGAACAGATATCAGGCTTCAACCAGAGAAGGATGGACTAGATTTAAAAAAAAAAAACTAGCATCAAGATTTTACACAGTCCAGCCAGATCCATTTAAGGATTTAAAGTTATGAACTAGTCTGACCACTGGTACACCACAGAGCTTTTCAGTGATATTGCGATGTGCTTTTAATAGTGTAGCAATCCTTCATAGATACATACATATTAATGTAGTTTCTAGTGCATTGATGAATTGAGAAAGTAAATCTTTCAGAAACTCTCAATGATTTTTTTATTATGACAATTACATATCCAAAGTAAATTCCATGACAGATGCTTAGGTAATGTATGTCATTTCAGTTGGCTTTCAACTGGTATCCAGTCCTTCCTGGACAGAATTGCTGAGCTGAGCTGGGGTGCCACCTAGCGGCCATGCCGAAAAAGGCACCTTGCAATATAGCGGGCTCATCAGTGCCTAGGGAAAGAACGAATTTAAAATATCCCGTGAATACCAATGACACTAACAAAAAGTTGTGTAGTTTCAACGAAATCGCGTTTTACTCTAAGAAACAACTGAAAGTATGTTAGAGTAATGCACAGAGAATTTTCTTTCTCAAACACATTCACATACATGGTGACAGGAGTCTAAATCCCTCCTGCTATTATATGAAATTGCAACATGATGTAACCCAACACCAGTTCAGTTACCATGGTGACAGACGGTCTGGTTCAGGTCATTGACCAGGTCAGGTTTTGGAACGGAAGAAGAAACAGCAAAAACAATATGTTTTCCTTCGGTAAACATAATTAGTACGTACGGGGTAAGAAAGGTGACTTCTTCAGGTGTTTTCTCCAGAGTGACGGTGCGGGTGTCCTCGCCCCACCGGCGGCGCCACATCCTCACGCCGCAGCTAGCGCAGCTCAGCAGGACCAGCACCAGGAGGAACGTGACCAGGCCGCTCAGTAAGGCCACTACAGCCAGCTCAACCAACGTCAGATCATCATCAAAACCTGGGGACCAAAACCTGGGGATCAGAATCTTGTAAAACCCAGATACAAAAAGTGAAGTTTCTGGTCATTTCTTCGCAAAGTAGTTGAATCATTCCTACTCCTGACATAAGAAAATTGAGGTGCCAAAATATGACGCCTTACGGTAAGTAACGCGTGTGTTTAGAATCTAGAAACACAGCTGGCAGCCATGTTTGTTTACATTCTGGTAGTTTGTGGTGGTACCACAAACTGAGTGTGCTTCATGTGGGCTGTTTTAGCGCCAACCATAAATGTAAGAAATGTGAAATGATAGCAAAAATATGATGAAAAGTGGAATGATGAAACACAACAACAAGACGATTTTTCAAGTAGAATATTTAAATTTTTTATGGAAAAATGTTACAGAATGCCCCTTTAGATTCTCGTCTTCCTCCTACCCTGTTGCCCTGCCGGACCGACTGTCTCCAGGGTGTCAGGCGGGGCGGTAGATCGGACCAGGGGTCCCGGCAGGTCGGGCAGCAGCTCTCGGAAGGTACTGGTGACGACATCAGCTACTGCAGTAGTCCACAGCTCCTCCTGCCGGCCGGTTGTAGTACTGCTCCAGCCTGCTGAAGTCGTTGCGGCCTCGTACCCGGGCGTGGTCTCTGTTCGTTTGGGTCATATTAATCAGATACTACCTTGACATTTAACACATTGCACGCATTGCTTTATAGGAATCCAATTTCAATTTCAAAACTGGATTTTCAAAGCTGATTTTCTGGTAATATTATTTTGATGTAGTAAGATGAATCAATCCAGTCCTGTAGCATACTGAATTGTGAGGCCAAAAATATGATGTCTCTGACGGGAAATGGTTGATTCTTTTGTATGGTAGATTCGTTTATAATTGTTTTGGGGCTATTTCAAATGCTTTAAGTATCATCGGAAATGATGATGAAAATGTGCTAAGGAAAAGCAGTCAATTTCAACATCAGATAGATTTCCTACTCCATAATATTTTTTGTTTAATTTTTCCGCCCTAAAATTGCTTTGAATACCTTTAATAACGTTTAAAACATTGCGCGCATTGCGATTTAGATACTGACGATACTCTAATATATGAAATTGCAACAATAGTGAATCCAAAAATGATCGATGAGGAATTCGAATTCAGACTAGTATATATTTTATATTTTATATGATCAATTTTATTTGACCAAGTAGGCACACTATCACAGGTAGATTCTTACACATGTATGGATCCATGGGTACTATGAAGATGAATGTTATAGAAGACTGATTCAAAATTTGAGGATGCTCTAAAAAATCTTTACCCTCTTATATGCACATTTGTGTTCTATTTTGGCCACTCCGGTTTTTTGGCGGGACTTTCCCGAATACTCATAAGTTCCCGACCAACTGTTTATTTCATTCTCCCTACTTTAGGGAAGTTCCCCCGGCAACAGTTTTGACGAATTTGATGATATATAATAGAAAGTTTATTTGCAAATACTTGCCAGAGGTTTTATATAATTACAATTATATAAGAGACTATGTGAAAAGATATACTACATTCTACAACATAGATACATGGTACTAGTTTTGTTGGGTTTGACTTCTTCTTTTCAGGCAGTGGGAGACGAAATTACCTAATTTAGCCACTGTAATGACTACGCAAACATGGATTTTAGCAGTAGATCTAGAGTATATGCATGCATGAAGATCATCGAGATCTCATTATTTCCCTATATGCCTTAAGTCTTCTTTATCAATCGCTCATTTTTGTTGGTTTCGTTGATTGATAGCTGGGAGAAAGCTGGGTTTTCCCCTCGAATATGTTTCGCGATCAAAAACAAGCCACGCACACACTTTCAGCAACTAAAGCGATTTCAGCAGGGCAGTAACTGAACTGATCATGAAACTGGATTTTCAAAGTCATGTTTCTAATGCATTAGGTAAACCTTCTCCCGTACCATACGGATATCTGTATGGTACGATATGATTCGATGTCGCTGACGGAAAATGGTTGCTTGTTTCGTCTCGTAGGCTGGTTCTAGTTATTTATGGTGTTACGCAGCTTGTTGAAATTGTGAGCCTATTTCAAAGGTACGAAATGATGAAGAAAATGTGCTAAGAAATGGCAGTAATTTTTAACTTGAAAATGTCAGTATCAGAGGGATTTCCTAGAATATTTTGTTTTTCTTTCGCCGCCATGAAAATTGCATGCCTTTAGCAAAGTATCGAACTCGTCTCGGATTGATTATAGTATTTTTCCGACGCGGATCTTTGGGAGAAGGTTTTTTTTTCATGCATCGATGTCATCGTAGTTTCACATGTTTTACTTCGATCGATCTACAAGAAACGGCCCTTTTGAATCCAGTGTATTTTTTTCGGTAAATTTCCAACATGACTACCGATCGAGCTTCAAGTGCAGTGCTAATTCTCAATATGAACAGCCATGTTATATATATGATACCAATCTATAAGAATATGTCGAGTCTTAAAGCCACGGTTTGATGATCATATCGCTCATGAAAGTCAATCTGAAAGCTTATTGTCAAACTCACAAAAGATAAAAAGAAAGATACAAAAGCTTCGAAAAACATGTTACCATTCGGGATGTTCCGCCTTCTTTTTGCTAGGAATTGCTGACAAAGTTCATGATTTAATCTCACATTTCGTTATTTCCACCAGTGCCTTACCTATAAAAACGCAGTAATTCTCTACATTTTTCTTGAAAAACGTTTTTATATGCCTTTTTTTTTACCCTTTTTGTTGAAAAACTACGAAAGTTCCCCTATGGGAAAAATGGGCACTTTACCGAAACCCCTACTAAACTGTTCAAAAGTCTATCAATAGCGAACGTTTAAAAATAGCAAACTTAGCGTACCGAGGAGTGGACAGTCCCGGCAGTGAGGATCGTCAGGCCAGGTCACACAGGTGAAACACGGGCGGCATCCCAACGAGCTGTCCCAGCCGAACATCTCACCACACAGTCCCTTCATGGTCACAACACTGAGGAACTAAATTCCTACCTCCTGGCTATGTAGTTCTGCCTTCCTGCCTTCGTAGAAAATGAGACATACCATGTCACTCACTTGTGGGGGTGGGGTGGGCGTAGCCACTATGGGACACGTACAAAAATGTTTGTTGCACACTAGCATCCTTGCCCGCTTTTCCCGAATGTTTTTCGACGGTTCCAGATACTCCTCACCTCTTTCTGTCTTATGTCTTTCTGTCATTTGGGTGTTTTATAAACGAATCGTTCTCCTGTCCACCCCCATATATATTTTCAGAAGGAATCATCCAAGTCAATGCATATCTGTAATAACAAATCTCTTCTATACATTATTGGTCACATGGAAACAGGAAAAGTATTAATGACCCAAAACTTGTGCATGGCGATACACTTCAAGTATCTCAATTTTATACATATGCATATGCAACATATGCACAAGTTTGCATATCAAATGATATTTTACAACACGTATACATGCTCTATTGCAAATTGAAATATATGTAGGCAACAAATGACAGGTTTCCATCGAAGGTTTCATAAAAATTAACAATAACCAATTGCAATAAGCAACACCCAAAACTTGTGCATGGCGATACACTACTAGTACTGTTATTTTTCTCAACTTAAGACATATACATATACAACATACGCACATGTTTGCATGTCAAATGATATTTTACGACATGTATAAACACGTTC